TGCTGTTCCTACACTAACCGTAGTTGTTCAGCCACAGCATGACTCATAGAAGCCGTGTAAATTTCCACGGAACTGGCAGAATTCACGAAGGTCTTTTTGGAGAGGACTACGAAGTTCAAAGGCCTTCGCCCAAGAGTCTTATGGTACGAAGCACGTCACGTCGCCGACTCCAGTTTTAACTCAGTGAGTCTGGCGGCTCATGGGTAGACAACTCCCGAAACCCTAAACTCTAAGCCCTAAGCCCTAAACCGTAAAACTGGCTGATACCTTGGGGCCTTGTGACCCTTATATCCTTGCTTACAAACCCTCATGAACCTCCACAGATATCATACGGTCCATAAGCAAAGGGGGTCTGCAACCCATGGTACCCTAATACTCACCACGATCCCTAGGGCTCCCTGAGCTTCCCCAAGGCTTTTTCGTACCTACCCCCCATGCACCCCCTCTAGCACGAGCGGGTCCTGGCCAGGATTCTCCATCCAAGCTGATGCGACAGATGTTCTGCTGCATAGCCTGGCTGGCGCCTCCTACAGATCCTAAAGAGTTAGGGTTTAGGGTTTAGGGTTTGGGGATTTGGAACTTTACTTCTCGGTCGCATGGCATAGCCGGAACCTCCCACCTGAAACTCAAGGCTGAAGTTCAGAGAGTTCCCACTGAACGTAAACATAACCCCCCCCCCCCACCCAGAGCGGCATTGAGTTTCAGGCTTGGGATGTTCCCCCTTATACTAGCAGTCCTTAACAGGGATTATAATAGGGGTACTATATTCCCCTAAACCCTAAACCCTAAACCCAAACCCTAAACCCTAAACCCTAAACCCTAAACCCTAAACCCTAAACCCTAAACCCTAAACCCTAAACCCTAAACCCTAAACCCTAAACCCTAAACCCTAAACCCAACTAAGGAGCTGTTAGTATCCCAAGGGTTGGCTCACTATACTTGAGCCCCTGAACTCGCAGTCCGCGGCCTGGAGCTGCTCAGGCGGCTTCGTCAAGGTCTGGCTAAAGCCGGCCATGTACCTAAGCAAATAAAAGAAAGAGACAAAACAGAAAACCCTAAACCCTAAACCCGAATCCCCAAACCCTAAACCCTAAACCTTTTTATTCCCGAAACCCTAGCCCTAAACGGCCCTAAACCCTAAACCCCTCCCCCCCTCCCCGTTGAAACATAGTCAGGGCTTGAAGGTTTAGCGGGGGGCACTTGACAACGGATTTGTAGGGTGTATAATTGTGGACTCAGTGGAATGAAGCTCTGAAACTGTACAGGTTCCAAGTCCCACTCAAGACCTGGTGCCTTTTGTCAAACAGAGGCGGAGACGCACAACTCACAACCCTTTAGATACATGTTTGGACGTCGGCGTGTGCTCGAGCATTTCCACACCCTCCACCAAGCCAGGAGCTGCAACACTGAAGAGTCGCGCGCTGCTCCAACATTCTTCCTGCAGATCCGATGCAGCTAGGACACGTGAAGCCCCTGGGAAATAACCGCTTAACATATAGCGTTGACTGCCCGCCTGCTTCTTTCAAAAGAAGGAATACGCTTCACTCGCCGCCGTGGAAGGTATGTCGATTGTGGTTCGAACTTCGAAACAAGACGAAGGCAGAAGCAATGCAAACAATGGCAGGCGTGGTGAATTGGAGACGTCGCATAGGAAAGCAAAAAAAAAGGCATGTGTCGAAAAACGTGGCAGGCGTGGGTTGAGAGGCATATTTCGGACTTCGTGCTTTAAGGGCAGAACGTGCATCAGCACAGAAATCGCGCATGAACACAACACGATTTCGTCAGCCTGCCTGGGGCGTTGTAGCACTTCGACAATGGCGGATTTTCAGCAATCTGCTTAGCTCGGTGCGACAATGTGCAAAACTGAAAGCCTGAAAGTAGGCAAAATGTGACGATTTTGGGCGAATATGTTTGGGAAGGGCTTTGGAAGGTTTATTAGTTTCAGGACTCTGGAAATTGAGACAAGGCTTGAGGTTTGTGAAGGCTCAATCCTTGCACATGTAATGTGAGAACCTTTAGGTTTGTGAAGGTACGGTCCCTGCAATGGTACTGTGGGGATTTTGCACAGGGCTGTAGGTTTCTGAAGGGTCGGGCCTGTATTACTCCGCCAAACAACCTCCTGGGGTAAGGGTGCAGTAGGCGCGCGGTGCAGAGCAAAAGGAGGCTACGTATCTTCATTTCCAGGTGCTCAAATTTAGGACTGCGGGTTTAGGGTTTAGGGTTTAGGGTTTAGTTCGGTTCTTTGTTGGGGTCGCTGGCCTCATGGGAAGCCGAGCTCCGCCTTCGTCCTCCTTCGCCCAGCACCTGGGGTTTCGGGGTTGGCTGGAGTTCGGGTCTAGGGTTTAGGGTTTAGGGTTTAAGGGTTAGGGTTTAGGGTTTAGGGTTTAGGGTTTAGGGTTGAGGGTTGAGGGTTTAGGGTTTTGGGTTTAGGGCTTAGGGGTTAGGGTTTAGGGTTTAGGGGCGAAGGCGAGTTCTGGGCCTGGAATCCCAAAGCTCAAGAACATGGCAACTTGGGATGTTCCCCTATATAATCACAGTGTCCAATAGGCATACTAATAGGGGACTGCTACGATTTGCTTAAGAACGCCCCCCCACCCACCCTCCCCCGCAAAAAAGATAATAAATAATAATAATCCCTATAGTACCCTTAACAAGGAAGAACATGTTTTTCTGTTTTTGTTGGTTCTTAAGCAAATGGTAGACTATGATCCTCATTAAGGACTGCTAGTAATAGTATAAGGGGGAACATCCCCAAAAAAGGGCAACCTCAAAACAAGGTCAGGCCCTTCTTTCAACATCTCCCTTGGAAAGAACGACGCCGTAGGACCCCTTTTTGGGAGCTGTCACATTCAGCAGCGCCCAGAGATATGAAAGCGAGGAAACAAGCGGCTGATAAGCGTCTTCCAAGGCGTCGCTTACCGCAGCAGAGAACCCCAGCCATTCCTGCCCAGCGGCCGCTTCTTGCTTATTGAGGTTCATGGGCAGCATGCATCAGAAGTATATACATGTATGTACGCATACATGTACATTCTACATATACATAGACACACACATATGTATATATTGATATTTACATATTTATATTTATGTGTTTACTTATACGTATATCTGTATTTATATTTCTATTTATACTCAAATTCATATTCGTATTCAAATTTATATATAAATATATGTCTATATATATATATTTATATTTATTTATGGATCTGTTAATCTTTTTGGTGTCACGTGTACTGAGTCTCGAGGTATGCACCACCCGACTCCGTGGGGCTCCTGCAACGCGGGCGACCGAGTAAATCCTACTCCTACAGCTTCTCAGCCCACCCGCACCACAACCACCTCCGACGAGAAAACTGCTGAGTCAACGGACAAAGAAACCAAAAGCAACAATCCGGGCCAAGGCACACCGCCCTCCTGGAATATCCTGGCAAGATAGCTTCGGGATGCTTTCGGAGCCCAGTCGGGTAGGATTTACCGGCTTGTGGATGTCCCGCCCCGAATGCCAGTTATTGTTGTTGGCCCTAGCTGTGCAAGAACTTGCGCTCTCAGTGCCAATATACTATCCAACTCAGCTTCGAGGTCCAAGGTCCAAACTTTGTGGCGACCGAGAAAAGCAAGACAATGTGGGGCCCCCCCCCCCCCCCCACTCTACTGGGGAGGTCCAACCACCTTTCGCGCAGCGAAGACATGCCCGAGCCCCGCTCTACCTGGGGTAGGTTTGGAGGCCCTTTAACAATTAATATGTTCGCGGCTTTGTCAGGATGTAGAGGGGTTAAGGACAGTAACAATTAAGAATTACGTGTCAACCCTACCCCTGTCTACCTGGAAGCCATCAGCTGTGCTACTCTAAAGGTTACTCCCTTATTTCAACATGATTCGGATTTCAGGTGTGAAGCTACTCTAAAGGTCACTCCCTTATTTGATCCTGATGATGACCTCTGCGCAGCCTCCCCGAAACTCTGCAAGCCGGGGATCCAGAATCCGCGTCCCCCAAGCTGCTCGGTGGCGGGAGAAGCACCCATGGCGCTCCCGATTTGGCTGTGCTTTTCGTTGACTCGTCGTTTGGTTTAGGGTTTAGGGTTTTAGGGTTTAGGGTTTAGGGTTCAGGGTTCAGGGTTCAGGGTTCAGGGTTTAGGGCTTAGGGTTCAGGGTTTAGGGTTTAGGGTTCGCTTCCACAGAGCTGGACGGGGCCCGGGGCACGGTACAGGTTTTTGGGTTGAAAAGATTAGGGTTTCTGGGTTTGGGCTTCACCTTACGGAAGGTACACTACCGGGGGGTTGTTCTAAATTATGGGCCCTGTTGTTGGCACCTTGAACATTCCCCGCTTGCCGTTTTTAACCCCAAACCCTAAACCCTAAACCCTAAACCCTGTTCTTCTGGGGCGCCTTGTACATGCTTGATGGCCATAGGAGCAAGGTCTGAAGCTCGAGGAGCTGAAACCTTGAGCTTCAGTCGGCGAGTCCTAAACCCTAAAAACCCTAAAAACCCTATAAAACCTATAAACCCTATAAACCCTCCCTCTCTCTCTCTCTCTCTCTCTCTCTCGCTCTGAGAAGCCCTGAACCCACCGTAAACCCTAAACCGCCCAACGTCACTGCTACCTGTGCGAAAGCTTCGGGCAGCACTTAGTTCGGGCTTCCGGGGAGTGGCCCTTGGTTCTGTCTAATTCGGTCTAGCACTTCGGCCATCAAGTCTACTTGGGGGTTCATGGGTAGTTATAAGTACGGTTCAAAGTACCCTAAATAACAGGGGCTATAGCCAGTTATAATATTAGTTAACCTTCTTATCACCCCACTTAGAACTACCCACGAACCTCCAAGCAGGGGATCACGGCATCACTGCATGGCTGTCTGAAGCATCCGTGTCGGAAAAGAAGCCAACAAGCGACCACCCTGAACCTAGGGTTTAGGTTTTAGGGTTTAGGGCTTAGGGTTTAGAACCCGTGTAGCTTGAGTCGCAAAAACCACTAAGCGCTGTTTTATCTGAGCTGTGCTGTAGCTTCAGCAGTCTTGCCGACACCGAGAGAGAGCGGCGGCGAAGTCTGCACGGCTTATGTGGGCCGTATCCTCCGTGTAGAAGCTTTCCTTGACTGCTCACGGGTCGCTGCATGTAGGGTGGGGTTTAGGGTTTAGGGTTTAGGGTTTAGGGTTTAGGGTTTAGGGTTTAGGGTTTAGGGTTTAGGGTTTAGGGTTTAGGGTTTAGGGTTTAGGGTTTAGGGTTTAGGGTGTATACAGCTTGTAGATGGGGTTTGACAGAGACAAGCATGAAGCACCGCTGCTACCCAGTTCTCGTGCAGTTGCGTGGGAGGTTTTGTTCCACACGCAGAGCATCGATCAAAGCTATGGTGTCACATTTAGGGTTTTAAGGTTTAGGGTTTAGGGGTTAGGGTTTAGGGTTTACCATGTCGAATGAATGCTTCGGACCAAGCCTCCAAGAAAACGTGCAAGGCAGAAGCATCACGCAGCTCGTCTTTCAGGTGCTGCTGAATCTTCTCCTCCAGTGCCGGTATCTCCACCACGCCTGCGGAGCTTCGGACTTGGGGTTGAGGGTTGAGGGTTGAGGGTTTAGGGTTTAGGGTTTAGGGTTTAGCGAAGCCCAGATGATTAACCGTGCTTCTCGTAGCAAAACTCAACTCTACCAACGATTCGTTCGGGGGCTCGGGACCTGGGCCACCGCTTGAAAAACCAAGGAGGCCTTTGTCATCTGCCAAAGTGTCGAAAAGCGTCAGCAGCTCATCGTCGCCTGTGGAAGGAGCAGCCGCATTACACCTACAACCAGAATCGAACCTGGAAGCACAGGGGCTTTCTTGGGGCGTCAGAACACGGAAGCAGGAATGTAGACTACCAAGGTGATTTTCTAAAAAATGCCGAACCGGTAACCTTAAACCCTAAACCCTAAACCCCAATTCAAGGGGGGAAATAGGGCTGTCTGGCAACCCTCGAGTCCATACTTGGAGGTTCATGGGTGGGTTTAAAGGGTTTAGGGTTTAGGGTTTGCTGTGATAGGGCGTAGACGCTGTGAAGGTTAGGTTTCGGAACAAGCTCGACAGCTTCGTGAGGTGCGAAGAGCAGCTTTGGCCCGATTGTGGAGGGCCATCTAACACTTTTCTCCCACCCCACGCCGTCCAAGGCGGCAAAGCCACCTAAACCTATTCCTTCTACCGGTCCAGGGGGGCCAGGGGAGCCAGGGGGCCAAGGGGGGCCAGGGGGCCAAGGGGGGTCCCCGACCCAGGTCAGCGGGATCAGTACTGGTCCCGAGGAGAGTCCCGGCCCATCGTGGGCGCCCCCCATGCTGTGGGAGGCGGGTGAGCGACCTGGGTCGGCTTGTGCCATCGAGGTCAAAGGGTAGGGTATAACCCTACTTAATACGTATAGCTGGTACTTAGGGTACGTATAACGCTACTTATAGCTACCCATGAACCTCCAAGTAGCCGTAAACCCTAAGCCCTAAACCGTAAAACGTAAAACCCTATAAACCCTAAACCCTAAATTCCTAAGACCGCTCTCTCTCTCTCTCTCTCTCTCTCCCTCTCTCTCGCAGACTGCAAGCTCTAAACCCCGCAAAGACACTGGTGGACTTCAGAACTTGGCCGAAGTCTTTCAGCTGCTCCTGCTCTCGGGTACTGTTCGGGCACTCGGTCAGCTGGGGGGGGTGTCCATGCTAAAGGGACGGTTTAGGGTTTAGGGTTTAGGGATTAAGGGTTTAGGGTTTAGGGTTTGGGTTTGTGGGCCTTAAGAGGGGAACCCCAAACAGGGAACTTCAAGAATATAGTAGGAATATAGTAGGAATATACCTGTCAAAGGGACCTTTATGGAACCCCAGGAAACTTCAGGGTTCTAGTGGGAAGATAGAAGGAGATGTAGTAGTAGGAATATACTTACCGGGGTCCTTCTATGCCCATTTAGTCGCACTCCTACTACGTTCTTGGTGTTCCCAGTTTGGGGCTCCCATTCGTCTCCTTTTACATGGGCTTTTCTTTCGGGTTTCGAAATTTTGGGTTTAGGGTTGAGATGTTTTCGGCGGGAGGCGGAACCCAAGCATGTCCGGTCACACATGATGCGGTACGCATCGTGAAACCGTCTAAGAAAGCCTAAGCAATCCCAAGCACCTGCTTCCAGTTTCAAGGCATCCACGCTGCCTCAACTCGTGTACTAAGTTAAGGAACAACACCGTGAGGCCTTTCGGATAAGACTCACTATGTTGAATCCGAAACTGCATCCACAGTCGCTTCGTTTAGGGTTAGGGTTGGGTTTGGGGTTTGGGGTTTAGGGTTTAGGGATTGGGGTTTCTTTCCTGTCTGTGAACCACCATGCGTCGTGGTCCGGACATGTGAAACAGCAGGGGAAGTTAGAACTATCTTGCAAGCCGAGCTGTGAAAACAAACTGAATCAAGCGTCCTCACATGGCTGCCTCAAGCCCTATCCCCCTAAGGGTGCATGTACCTAAATAGGGAATACGCGGGCCTCAAAGTTGCTTGCTATATAGGGACTTTGGGGCCCAAGTATATAATAATGAGGTACATGGACCCTTAGGGTCCCTAATGACGGCGGAGGCAGAAAACCAGAGGGTTCGCTGCCAGGACATCTCTGTTGGGAGAACAGGTCGGGCATGGATGCTCTCCTCAAAAGCTCCCAAACATCTATTCCTCGAAAGGTCGTTTCCGGAAGCTCGAGTTTTGGACTCACAACATGCGCCGTAACCCAAATCCGCGGCGCATACCCTGTAGTAGCAACATAAAAACTATATAACGCAAAAAAGTAGGCTTAGTAATAGCAGTACTATTAGTGGCATTTTTTAAAGAAGATTTACAGGTACTAAGCGCAATAAGCGTAACATGGCAGCAACAAAGAAAGACTAGATATTCAAGAGACAATAGAATCACTAGCACCGAACCCGGCCAGGAAACACCCTAAACGCAGTGAGTGGAGGTTCATAGTGAACTCATGAGAATATAACTCAAACCCTAAACCCTAAGCCCTAAACCCAAAACCCTAAACCCTATAAACCCTAGATCCTAAACCCTAAACCCTAAACCCTAAACCCTAAACCCTAAAGCAAGAACGCGGGCCTTGGTTGCCTCGATCTCGCCCACCTCATGGCGCACTTCCTCCACGTGCTCCTGTCGGGCAAAGAGGCTATGGGAGGCTTCTAAGGGAGGCTTGTGTTTAGGTTTTTTTTTTTGCCACCCGCCAGGCCACATTGCAGGACTAGTTCCGGAACATCATGTTGTAGGAGAAAGTGCCTTTAAAGCCAGCATAAAATTGGGTTTGGGGTTTGGGGTTTGGGGTTTAGGGTTTAGGGTATAAGGGAGGCTAATAAGGAAGCCTTATAAGGAAGCCTTACAAGCATCCAGAAGTCATTTTTGTCCCGAGTTGCAAACGTTCTGTTGCCAATTCTCTGCCTTTTTCACCATCCCCCATAGGTTCAGGCATTGGAGGGGATTGGCTGAGGACCGCTGTGCCTTGAGGCTCTCGATGTCCTCCTGCATCATGCCAGTCTCCTTACAAGGCTTTCGAGCTCAAGGTTTGTGCTGGGGTGCTGGCCAAGTCCCCTAAGTCTCTGCACTAGATGAAGAGGGCTTCACCATTTCGTCACTAAGGGCTTGCTCGCATGAAACTGTGAACACGAGTGCAAAGCGCAATGAGCAAGTTCGTAAGGGTGTGAAGTGCCGGCGATTTGAATGCAATCCATGCTGTGGTTGTGGGACGACTCTGAGCCCTGGGCGAGGTCGCTCTCTTCGTCCTGCAGGGCATTGGGCAAGTTCACAGAATTGCCCTCTTTGTGCCGCAGTGTCCCACGGTGCCTCATGCACACTATTCCGGCGGGCTTGGGGTGGAGGAGTGTGTCAGCTCAGGAAACACGTATCTGTGCGCGTCAGTTTTCTTGCTTCCTTCTCTATCCTTTTCTTTCAGAGTGAGCGTTGGTGTGATTCTGGCCCAACGGTCTGCAATATGCCCGAGATCCCTGTATGTTGGGTCGAAAACTGATGGATCAACAAACCCTAAACCCTAAACTGGCCCTAAACCCTACACACTAAGCCCTAAACCGTAAACCCTTCAAAGAAAACAAAAGAACCCCAGGGCTCCAGAAACTGAGCTGTGACTCCAAGTAATACAGGGGCATTAATAATCAGAGGCTTTTGGGGGGTTATCTGCCGAGGCCTCGGGCCGAAGGTGTCTTTGTGAGAACAGGCCCCAATGTCGGCCCCCTTTTTTTGCCTGGAATGGCGGACGGGACCAGGGACCGTTGGGCTCAAACAACAGAATCACCCCCCCACCCCCCCACCCACCCCCCACCCCCCCACCCACCCCCCACCCCCCCACCCAACCCCACCACCCCCCACCGCAGAAGAAGGATCCCCCCCACCCACCCCCACCTTGCACTTCGTCGCTGTGGGTTTTTGTCGTTGGAAAGGGACTATAAAGGAATACTATTGGTAATTATTCCGGCCCCTATTTACCTTCACCATAAGGGGGCAAAGGCAACAAAACCCAAAAGCCGAGCACAGCACAAGCAACTAGTAACTCAGCGGCCGACGGCCACGAGCTTTAGATGCAACCCAAAACACAAAACCCCAGACATATATATATATATATATATATATATATATATCTGTGTGTTATACCCTGACTGTACAAACCCTGCTGCAAACACTCCGCAGAACCCTCAACTCCATAAGCCCTAAACCCTAAAAACCCTCAACTCAACTTCATCCCTAAAACCCTAAACCCTAAACCCTAAAAACCCTCAACTCCCTCCAAACGGCCTTGGGGCTGCGAGCCGATCGGTCGATGGTCTGGTGGATCCACTCATGTAGCTGCGAATCCACGAAGCGGCCCTGCAGACCTTTCTCATCTTTCCATGCGATGTAGGGTTTAGGGTTTAGGGTTTAGGGTTTAGGGTTTTAGGGTTTAGGGTTTAGGGTTTAGGGTTTCGGGTTCTTGTATGGAGGGGCCCAAAGCTACCCAGTCTCCTTGATTCAAAAACGCTACGTTTCGGGGTTGTCCTCCTAAACGAGCGATAGGGCATGTGGATCCGGCTCGGCAGCCCCCTCCGCCAAGGACGGTCCAGCACCATGCGAACTTGTTGCCATGCACTTGTGCAAATCCCGCAGCAGAGCCCATGACGTGGAAGGGGCATGATACAGGAAATGGTACACATGTAAACCTCCACAGGCAAGCCCCGTATCATAGCTAGGCGTCCCCAATAAGGTTGTTTTGTGGAACGCTGGCACTGTGTCCTCACACTTTCTTCAGGTTCAGGTTTCATAATATAGTGAATATGGTGTATATGTGGGCCCCCCCTCTTGCTACCAGATACGAATCCCTTTAAAGACTCAAGTATATACTGTAATGGGTTTCACATGGACTCTTTAAAGACATCTTCGCGAGGCAAGGGGCGCAGGATGTGGTCGCGCTCATCCTGGGTCAACAAAGCCGGCACGGCCTCGAGATCCTCAGCTGAGTTTGGGGCGGTCAGGCTTGTTCAGCTTCTTTGGGATAATTTTGATACAAGTTGTTCTATACACTAGGTTCCCTTTTTCGGTCCCAAATAAACTACGGAACCTTATAAACCGGACCCCCCAAAAGTGGACCCATTTAGAGAACGATCCATATCCCAGCATGTGGTGGCTGTCCGACACAGGCACGCACAAGACTACTGCGACCGGTAGGAAGACGAGCTTTCTGAATTTCTTAGGGTTTAGGGTTTAGGGTTTTGGGTTTTTGCGGTACAGGGTTTAGGGTTCAGGGTTTAGGGTTTCAGAAGGTCCCGAACCCGCCTCATTTAATAACCCTGTTCACGTCACGGCTCGGGATTCATTCAACGTCGTCCGCAACGCGCCTGTGTAACATTGCGGTGCCTCCAATTCCTTTTCCCAAGTGCAGAATCCGGCATGTGCCAAGACTAGGCCGTTTGGCCGAACGACGTTAATACAGAGGCTTATTCAGATGAAACAGACCCTCGAAATAGTGCTCAAACCTACCAACAACCCAGCAACCTGATACACCCGATTGCTGTAGATGTTATCCTCACACCGCGTAGCAGGGGTAAAGGCACTTGGATTACAAGAAACAGAAATGGAAACTATTGAGTCTCTACTAAGTTACTAAAACTCACGCAATTCACAAAGGCTATTGTCGGCGGTTCCACGTACGTTTTTGCAACTGAAAGACTCGCGCAACAGCTCCCAAAAGGGGCCCTAGCATCCAATTTAAGAGTCGTTTCGACCCACGAAACTCCAAAACAAAGCCAAACAGGCAATATTCAAGATTAAGCATCGTACTAACCCTAAACCCTAAACTTCAAAACCCTACACTCCCTAAGCCCAAAACGCAAGAACCCCCAAGTAGGGTTCCAGCCGGAACAGTCAAGCAAAGGTGACGTGCTACAAATCCCCACCAGCATGCGAGAGGTTCCAGCAGCCCTGTCGTGCCAAGCAGCTGTGGCACAGGGACGCAGGAAGAGAAGGACGTGGTTGGGGATGTCCTTTGTGTGCGATGGGTGATTATGACCCTATCACCCCTTAGAAACGGCCCTTTACAGGGTTGGTCAGGCGGGATTCTAAGGCCCAATAAGCTCCAGAGACGGGATCTCAGAACCCGCAACGGAAGCTGTGCAAAAGGCTGCAACAGTCTCCTGGTCCAGGGATAGCTCCAGCCAATCTCGAAGCTGCACTCCTGAGCTTACCCCATCAACCCCAGACCCTTAAGCCTATGTAAACCCCAACCCCAAACCCCAAATCATAAACCCTAAACCCTAAACCCTATGTAAAGCCTGAACCCTAAACCCTAAACCCAAAATTCACCCAAAACCCTATACAGGCACCAAACCCTCAAAAGGGTTTGGGAACTTTGGGGTGCAGGTTGTCCTGCAAGCATCACTCTTGCACTCTTAGGCAGGGTTTAGGGTTTAGGGTTTAGGGTTTAGGGTTTAGGGTTCAGGGTTTAGGGTTTAGGGTTCAGGGTTTAGGGCTTTCAGGATGTCAAGAGACTTTGGTTTCTTGTGGTGTTAGGGCTTGGGGCTTATGACTTCACATACTGTTGGTTAGCTGGGAATGAGAGAATTAGGGCATTATATACCCTTGAGGGATTAAATTTAGGGTACCTCATTCCCCCATTCCCTACAAACCCTGAACCCTAAACCCCAAAATGCCCAGTAAGTTCTGGGCTTGAGCGCTGTTGGGCTGCTCTTGCGGCTGAAGTACTGGTTGCGTAAATTACTGTTGGTTGGCAGGGAATGGGGGAATGAGGTAATTACCCTATACAATCGCTTAAAGGGTATATATATCCCAAATTCCCTCATTCCCTGCTAACCAACAGTAAGGCGGGTGAAGTACTGGTCGCTTAAGAACCCACCCAAGAATGAACATAACATTCTTCCTTATAAGTGTAATAAGGGGATTGTTATATTTTATGTTTTTTGTGGTTCTTAAGCAAATACAGTACTAGGTGAAGCTGCTGTGGTTTGGCATGTCTCGGGCTTCCTGACAATTTTAAATGATCAATTTTGGATGCTCCGCGGACGCATGGGCATTCGTAAGTGGGGCAATCTTTAAACCCTAAACCCTAAACCCTAAACCCGAAACCCGAAACCCTGAACCCTAACCCTAAACCCTAAACCCTAGACCCAGGAAGGCTCATGGGTTGTGACACGCCAAGTGTTGCCCGAAGGGCGAAGGTTGGACTCGTCGCCCAACCAACGCATTCGTCTGCGCCTTGGGTCGACGAACAGGATGCGTTAGGGCTACGGTTTGGGTTTAGGGTTTAGGGTTGAGCGTTTAGGGTTTAGGGTTCATGGGGTTCTCACCAAAGTCCTTTTGACTCGAAACCCGAAACCCCATTTTGTTGCATCTGGCGGCTCCGGATGGGTAAGCCCTAAACCCTCATGTGCTTCTGAACGCCGACAGCCCTAACCAACTTACCAACACTTGGAGGTTCATGGGAACTTCTAAGTGGAGTTGCAAGTAGGGTTACTATAGCTAAATCTGTTTATCACCTTGTTCAGGGTACTCACAGCCCTACTATTTGCTTAAGAACCCCAAAAGAGTACAAAATAATCATCCGTATATTGCCCTTACAAGGAAGAATGTTTTTTTTTGGGCGGGTTCTTAAGCAAGTAGTAGAACCTTGCTTACAACTTCCCCCGAACCTTCAAAATTCGAGAAAGTTCTCAAGGTCCAGTTCCCAAGCCGATCCCGACTTTCAGGCACAGTGTCCCTGATCAGTTGCGATCATGAGCCCCCTGAACCCTAAACCCTAAACCCCCGAGCGCAGGCGCGGCCGGCTTACATGTGGCCCTCTTCCTCGTAGTCCTAAGCCCGACTGGCATCCCCGGCTCTTCACACCCCTGACACCTGAACACCAAGCACTTAATATGTATCAATATAAATATATATATATATATATGTAGATATATATATATATATATATATTGTTTTTTTTTGGGGCGGGGAGGGGGGGGGTTTAACTTTTTAGGGTTTAGGGTTGCAGGCTTTACGGTTTTCAGGCGACACAAGCTGCAGAACTCGACCGCCTCAACCCAAGGCACTCGTTCTCCCGTTCAAGCTCCCTCGGAGTCAGCGCGTTGAGATCCACCTCAGGGCTTTTTTTTGGCCGCCCGCCAGACAAGCCACACTCCAGGGGTTCGCACGTTTGGGCCCCCTAAACCCTAAACCTCAAACCAAAACCCTTAACCCCAAACCCTAAACCCTCAACCCTAAACCTTTACGGTGCAGGACCTGCAGGGATCGGGGCTCTAGGGCTTCATGTTCGGCTTCGGGGATTTCTCATCCCTGAGACTGCTTGAACTGGCACACGTACACTAAGCAGGGTTTAGGGTTTAGGGTTTAGGGCAGTTTAAGCTTTATGAAGGCCGGTGGCTTCTTTATCTGTTACCCTTGTACCTGAATATAGCCCCTAGATACCCTAATAAGAAACCCGGATATATGCCCTTTAAAACAGAAACCCTACTTAAAGAGACCACCAACCCACAGAAGGTAAGCTGCCCTTCCGAAACCGCTAGATGGGATCGATGCTCCTGAGGTCGTTTAGGGCTTAGGGTTTATTTAGGGTTTATTTAGGGTTTATTAGGGTTTACTTAGGGTTTATTTAGGGTTTATTTAGGGTTTACTTAGAGTTCGGGGACTCCTTGCTCTTCGCACTAGAGCCCCTGGCAACATGTCCCGGAGCGGGACGCCCAGCAAGACCTCTAACTCGGGCACGAGCCGAGAGCCAAAACCCAAAGTTCCAGAGCGCGCCAAATATGAGTAGTTCCCAACATACCCCCCAACCCTAAACCCTAAACCCTAAACCCTAAACACGAAATCCTAAACCCCCCTTTTAACCCCAAATCGAACCGAATCCCCTTGCAGCCTTACAGGGGCTCCCAAAAAGGGTACCCTACCTTTTTTGGGAAACCCCCCCAAATTTGAGGCGGTCGAGTTCATGGACTCCACAAACTTTTAGGGTTAAGGGTTTAGAATTTCTTCAGTCGTGGCTGGGCAGGTTCGGGTGTCTAGTTTCTGGAGCAATGGAATCTCGAACTGCATGCTGCAGTTCTCCACCCTAAACCCTAAACCCTAAACCCTAAACCCTAAACCCTAAACCCACATGTTCTGGTTCCACTGGTTCCCCAGGAACCCTTTGCCCGGGCCTCTGCCAAGCACCGGTCGTCCTCTTCCCGCTTCTCCAGCGTCTGCTGGAGGATGAAGCGCAGGCGAACCTGTGAACAGACAGAGGCAGTCCATGGGTTTAGGGTTTAGGGTTTGGGGTTTAGGGTTTTTTTTTGGGGGGGGGGGGGGGGGGGGGGGGGGGGGGTAGCATCGAGGGGGGCAGTAGTGGAACCCATGATGGAGGATTGCGAGCCTTACTTGGCGCAAGCAGCTACAACCAGCTTTGAGCATCTTCGAGTGTCAGGTCATGCGTCTGCCCCCCAAACCACCGGCCTGAGGGTCCATGTACCTGATGGGGAATACTTGCGCCTTAAAGTACCTCCTATATAGGGCCTTCTTGGGCCCAAGTCTACAACAAGATGGTGCATGGGGCCTTAGGGACAGGACTTACAGAGTATCCGGGTTGAGTGTTGAGGCTTGCAGAGCACTACCAGGCATCATGTTTGACCGACGGCCTCAGCACCGGCACTCGGCCCCCCTTCCCTCAAACCTAAAACACCCTAAGCCCTAAACCATCCCAAACTACAATCATAAACCGTGAGTTAACCTGAAAGCCTAAACCCTAAACCCTAAGCTCCAAACTACAATCACAAACCGTGAGTCAGACTTACTTCATAAGCCACATCACCCCAAACTACAATCATAAACCGTGAGTTAGCCTTTACACTTAACAAAAGAAAAAAGTATCTCGGCCCAGGGGCTGCATGCATGGCCCTCGGCAGCAGCAGACCCTCAAGCCAAGCGCTCCAAGTATAGATGCCCATGACCTGGCCTTGGAGGCTGATATGGGGTGGTTTAGGGTTTAGGGTTTAGGGTTCAGGGCAACATAGGCAACATATAGAGGTTTCCGAAAATTAGTGCTACCTTCTTGGGGTCCTTATCATAAGGGAATCCTGCTGTTTGGGCTGGGGGGGGGGGGGTCTCTTAGGGTTCCCTTGTTTTCTTAAACTTGTCGTAAACCCCCATATAGGGGCCTTAAGAAATCAGATTATGGTGTTGGGGTTGGGATGTTCCCCCTTATACTAACAGCTCCTTAATGGGGATTCTAGTACCCCCAAACATAGTGGAAAGGGCAAGCATCCCAATGTTGGGGGGTCATTATAGTTTAAGTATGTGGGGACTGTAAGGGGCTACTAGTAATTATTCCGACCCCTATCTTACTCAGGGTCTTGGACAGTGCCTTAGCTTGCACTTTAGATTGATGGACACTTGAAGGCCCCACCGAACCCTACGTATAACTACGTACCCATGCGGGACTTGGGTTTAGGGTTAAGGGTTCTTGGGGTTTAGGGTTTAGGGTTAGGGTTCTTAGTCTTAGGGTTTAGGGTTTTTAGGGTTTAGGGCTGCCAAAGCCCATATACAGGACATTTTGGGTTGAACTTCCAACTTGAACCCGAAAACAGACATTGCACGATACTGGCCTTGAGCCTTTCTTGAACTCTAAAGCCTCAACAGTAACCCATAGGCAACCCCTAGACTACTATTTGCTTAAGAACCCCCAAAAAAACAGAAAATAAGAATGCCCGTATTACCCTTATAAGGAAGAGGACATTTTTCATGATTTTGGGGGGCAATTGGTAGTCGAACTCATACATCTTCCAGGGGTGTGTGAAGCTGGACCAATCCAACCAGTCAGACAAGTCATCCTCCCTGGCAGGCAAAAAAAGCCATAGAAGCTGTAGGCTTGCCCCTAAACCCCAAACCCTAAATCCTAAACCCGAAACCCTAAACCCTAAACTCTAAATAAACCCTAAACCCTAAATAAACCCTAAACCCTAAACTGAACCCTAAACCAAGTAGCAGAGCTCCCGAAGGATGTACCTGGGAAGCTTCTGGATTGCCAGCGGCCCGTCATCTTCAAAGCTAACAGACAGGCGGCGGATGTCCTGCCAACCCCTAAACCCTAGCCCTAAACCTTAGCCCTAAACCCCAAACCCTAAACCCTAAACCCTAGCCCTAAACCCTAAACCCGAAACCTCAAACTCTGAACCGCCACAGGGCCTGTTGGGAGGAGAGCCTCAGACTCTCGATTCAGCAGCAAAAACACCAGTCACCCCAACCACTACAAACCCGGAACCCCAAGCCCAAGCATCACGCATTAGAACTTATATTGGGGTGTTCCCTCTTATGCTAGCAGTCCTTAAATAAGGATTTATTTGGGGGTACTGTAGTGCCCATTGAGGACTGTTAGTGTAAGGGGGAACATCCCAAGTTATATAGTAGTAGATGTGGCCCGCCCTCTGCCACTAAACAATACGGGTGTACGGGTGTTGAACTTCACGGAAGTTGCAGGTTTGCCCCCCCCCCCCCCCCCCTTCAAATTGGAGACGACGAAGCCGAGCAGAACCTCCTAAAGCGTCTGGCCACGAAACGGGTTTGGGATTTAGGGAAGCTCGCACGACAGTTGCGCGAAACCTCGACGCCTGTAAGGCCCTTTCTGCAGGTTTTTCGACGTTGGAACTTAACCCTAAACCCTAAACCCTAAACCCTAAACTACCCTAAACCCTAACCCTAAACCCTAAACCCTAAGCCCCGTCCTTCGCTCCGATAATTCCGCCCCGAGCCAGGGACCGAAAGACCGGAGTGATACTCTTCGAGACATCGTCGCTCAAGCTCTCGTAGACCAGGGTCCGGGCGACCATGTGCCTTAGCGATAGGGTTTAGGGTTTAGGGTTTAGGGTTTAGGGTTTAGGGTTTAGGGTTTAGGGTTTAGGGTTTAGGGTTTAGGGTTTACGGTTTAGGGTTTAATAGTGTTCACGAAAGCCGAAGTCCCAGGTTCTGGCAACATGGAAAAGGGAAGCCGAAGGGAAGATAATTGAATCGAGTTGCTCCAGCAGCCTTCGACGCACGACGCTGTGCTCCAAGTTCCTCAACTATGACAGGACTCACGTCTGAGCCGCTATTTCACATACGCTGTACTTGTTTTACATTTTGCATGCGATCCTGGCTCGCGTTTCGCAAGCTCCCTCCACCCTCTTTGCCGCCAAAAACAAAGACAACTTTTGCATCTGCACGTGTATCGCCAGAACTTAACCCTAGACCCTAAACCCTAAACCCTAAAACCATGGGGGGCATGAAGCCCTTGCTTGAAGCATGGACTGCGGTCGGCGACTCCGCTGTGAAAGATGGGACCCTTTGTGCCAGGACTCATCAGACTCGTGCTTGAGGAGACATGTCCGAACTGAAAGCATCAATACGCATGCGATTGTTCATGCCTAAACCCTGAGCCCCAAGCCTGAGACCTCAAACCCTCAACAAGCCCTTTGGAAACCCTAGAAAGCGCCAAACACAGACCTGAATTCACTAAGCCCAAAATCCCAAAATCCGAAATTCCTATAGGCCCTAAACCAACACTGAAACCTAAACCCTAAACCCTAAACTCTAAACCCTAAGCCGTAAACCCTAAACCCTAAACCCTAAACTCTAACCAACCATCGCCCCCACCACGGCCAGGGGGGGGGGGCCGGGGGGGGGGGAGGGGGGGGGGCCGGGGGGGGGGGGGGGGAGGGGGGGGGGGGGGGAGGGGGGGGGGGAGGGGGGGGGGGGAAGGGGGGGGGAGGGGGTGGGGGAAGGGGGGGGGGGAGGGGGGGCTAATTTGACTCATGTCACTAATAAACTCCATAAAATACTAACTAAAATAACATAGTCATCTGTTTTGTCCAGTTTTATATACAAAACTTGTTTGAATGCATCATTGTGGCACTGCTTCTATTCTTGAGTCAAATAAACTAATGATCTGTTGTGGTGGTATCTTTTTCTAATATTATACTTCGTTGTAATGTATATTGGCCGATATATTTCTCCATCAATTAATTGCACAAAAAAAACATTTTCCAATCTTTTGTAATATAATATATCCATATTCCTGATACTAATCTATAAAATATAAATGCAGCAATTGATGATAAACCATATTGATTAACTTTACTTGGTTTACCAGTAATTGTATGAACACATTCATTACAATTATAATGTAATAAACCAAATTGTACTATTACAGCCACATCACTTGCTTGATCAAATGAAGGCTGAAGGGAGGGGGGGTTTAGGGTTTAGGGTTTAGGGTTTAGGGTTTAGGGTTTAGGGTTTAGGGTTTAGGGTTGAGAGTTGAGGGTTCAGGGTTTAGGGTTTTGGGTTTAGGATTTAGTTGGGGTTTTGGGTTTAGGGTTTTTGGGTTTAGGGTAGGCGGGGGGGGACAAGGGCTGGGCGGGAGGAGTGTCGGATTGAAGATTCCGTGGCAGCTTCTGCCTGAGATTTTCAGTTGCCCATCCTCATCTTGAAACGTCTTGAGTTCAAGACGCCAGCTTGAAGATCGAAAGCCGGAGATTCCCGGGAAAAGTCCCCCAGGATCTTCGATCATCAAACTTCGATGGTGTCTCGAGTTCAAGAGTTTCAACATGCATATGTGTCAAAAGCCGTCCAAAACAGGTCTGAAAACTCCATTCGAACTCACAGGCTGAGTGGAGTCTGAAAGCCCCTCATTTGTATAGGATGCCGATATAAATAAAGCCTCTTATTTGAAGGATCCTTTACAAATCCTACATTTTCCCATTTGGGGCGCAAACGCCCTGACCCAACTTACTTTTGCAAGGAAGGTTCCCAGGTCTAGCGATTACTTCATAACCCTCCCCCTCCCAACCAAAGAAACTATCAACGGATCTCGTTTTGCTGTTTTACCAGGTTTACTTGAAAAGGAGGAAAGAAATGTTCATACTTGGTGACGTTGTTTGGGTTTCGGGTGTTTGTAAGGGTTGCAGAAGAGGAAAACCGGGAACAATGCTAAGACTTGGTGATACACATTTTGATTTCAGGCGTTTGGAAGGGTCGCAGATAAGGAATCTCGGGAACATGTTAGCACTTGGTGATGCGGTTTTTCTTTTGCGGGAAGGGAAATAATGACGATATGATATGATATACATTGAAAGGCTTGACGCTTGTTTGCAGTTCAGGCGTTTTGGAGAAATGCATGGGTCAACGGAAGGTGCGTGAAGCACAGCGGACAAGCTGTGCACTGTGCACCGTTCGATGTCCTAGAAGTTTAGGGTTTAGGGATGGCAAAACTAGACCCAAGAGTAGCCAAGGAATAAAGGCATCAGACTCAAAGAGCCCCGCAGGAATAGAAATCATGAACCGCTGGTTCTCATCGAACCGTACAGAAACGTCTCCCCAAACGCAATAATGCATGTAAAGATCCTGAGAATGAGTTGGCGCCGCCGCTGCTCATCCGTCGTGAACGTGCTCGGAATCAGCGTGGGAAACCTCGACAAAAGGCGCTGAGCTTACTCTGACTGCTTCCATGACCTTTGAAGAAAGATTTCGCCCTCATTGCCCCACACACAAACACGAGCTTAGACAAGACATAACGGAGTTCAGGGTTTAGGGTTTAGGGTTGAGGGTTACTTGAAGTTTCATGGGTACTTATAAGTGGGGTTACAAGTACCAAGAACGAGCTATCAATATAGTTACCCTACTCATCAATCACCCCACTCAAAACTCGCATGAACCTCCAAGTAACCACCCAGGACTACCAGGCCTGACACCTGCAGCCCTCGATGCACAGCCAGAGGGGAAGATATTCTTCCGTAGATGGGCAATATAAGGACGATTCTCTTATATTCTCTGGTTTTTTTAGGTCTGTTTCGACTCGACAGAGCAAGATTGGACTCACCACGATTGACCCTAAACCCTAAACCCTAAACCCTAAACCCTAAACCCTAAACCCTAAACCCACCTCCCAGCAAACGCCTGGTTCTTGCCCGCCAGAGAGTGTGGCGCGGGTCTACTTGTTCTAGAGTGACGTGCAACATCACCCTTTTTCACAAGGGTTTAGGGTTTAGGGTTTAGGGTTTAGGGTTTAGGGTTTAGGGTTTAGGGTTTAGTGCAACATCACCCTAAACCCTGAAAACTCGCTAACCCCAAACCCAAAACCCTCAAGTTCACCAACATGCGAAGCTAGCCCCCGAAGCCGGCAAGTGGCAGTGTCAAAGCCACTGGCAGCAACAGCTCCGCGCCTGGAATGATCAAGAAGACCTCGGCCAGGACTTTAGCATATTTCATCGGGTTTTGGGTTTAGGGGTTTAGGGCTTGGGGGTTTCGGGACTAAGGTGTTGGGGTGCGTCCACCCTGAACCCCTAAACCCTAAACCCTTTTTTAAGACTGGAACTGAGGCCAGCGCAGCATCCCTAAACCCTAACCCTAAACCCCCATCAACACGCATGAACCTCAACAATCAAACAAGGAGCCGAAAACGGCAGCAAACGCACCAGGTCCTTCGCCGTTGTCTCCAACAGCTGTCGCTCGCCTAGATTTGGGCAGAAAATGGGGCAATCTGAAGAACCATCTTCAAGGCTTCGGATGGTTTAGGGTGTAGGGTTTAGGGTTTAAGTTTGGGGTTTAGGGTTTCGGAATGCCCCCGACTTACAACACGGGTGGGCTGTCAAGATTTGCACTCTTGCGTGTGATGCCCCCTTTCGAAACCAGTGGATGCACACAAACACACACGGAGACAAACAATGCGACACTTACTTGCCTCATCCAGAACCGAATGCCCTGTAACTTACTGTCTTGATTTGCCTCCTTGGTTTGTGCAATGCTGCAAAGCATCACTCTTGCAACCCTTTGCTGTAGCTATAGGCAGCTATGCATCATGTTGTGAACTTTTGCCCCCTGGTTCTTAGTAGGGAATGAGGGAAGGAATATGTGTTATGTATATACATATATATATATATAAATATACATATATATATATATACCGTTTAAGGGATTATATATATATATATATATATATATAACCCTCATTCCCTCATTCCCTACTAAGAACCAGCCAGTTTACCTTCAGTGAAAGCCTGGCTGCGTCGCGTGAGCTTCTGGCCATTGGCTACTTGGTTTCGCAACCGCCACGCCGTGCCTCACTGCTGTGCGGATAAGGGTTTAGGGTTTAGGGTTTAGGGTTTGGGGTTTAGGGTTTAGGGCATGTTTGTCGTCTATAAGGCACGAAGTGACAAAGTGAAGGCTTCAGGTTGGGATGTTCCCCCTCAAACTAACAGCTCCTCAATAGGGATTCTAGTACCCCCTATCCTAATCCCTGTTAAGGACTGTTAGTATACCCTCAACCCTAAACCCTAAACCCGTAACCCTAAATCCGTAACCCTAAATCCAAGCTTCAGGTTGCAAAAGCGGAGGACTTAGGCCCCCCGCGCGCGTTCACTGCAAGCAATCGGCTGCCGTGCCAGAGATGCAGTGCTTGATCCTTGGGTTTAGGGTTTAGGGTTTAGGGATGCTTGCTGCAGGGTTTGGGTCTATCTGCGAGCAGATTTTGACACGCCTGCAAACGGTACTTGGAGGTTCACGGGTAGCAGAAAGTGGGGTTATAAGTTAGGCTACGCACATCCTCATTAGGCTACATACTACCCTACTTCTAGCTAGACATGAACCTTCAAGTAGCCCTTCACACCACCTTCCTAGCTGGGAGCAACCGTGACAGGTACTCAGAGCACCGGGTTGGATGCGAGGATATCCCACCACTGATCCAACGCCACAAACTGGAGGGGTTTAGGGTTTAGGGTTTAGGGTTTAGGGTTTAGGGTTTAGGGTTTAGGGTTTAAAGGGTTTCCGAAACACCATAAGAAGACACACGAAATCATGCCAGGGATCCCATAGCCAAGCTCTTAATGTCTGTTGCTGCTGGTTGGCCAGGGGCTTCTTCCTGCGTGCCACGAGCATGGGGACTATGAGAACGCTCTTGCAACTTTGCCCCCTAAACCCTAAGCCCTAAACCCTATAAACCCTAAACCCTAATCGGAAATTTTGCCGGTCACCACCCGAATGACAGCCGCGACCTGATGTCAAACTTCCTGCGTGATGTCCAAACCCTTTGGCAGGTGCAAGTGGTTCAAAACCCTAAACCCTAAACCCTAAACCCTAAACCCTAAAACCTAAAACCTAAACCCTAAACCCTAAACCCTAAACCCGGAAGGCGCCAGTTAAAGGCATCAAGTCCTCAAGGCCCCGAAGCCCTAAGCAAAAGGTTGAATCCAGAAAGCTCTCACTCGGAAGCTAATCAACAGACGCACGAAGTTCCCTACATGTCTATTGCACAGAGGGATTCTGGGAGGGGTGCACGAAACAGGGACCCACCCTGGGAAAGGGTAAAACCCGCGACTGATGCAATCACGTGTGGCAAGCAAAACCTCACCAAAGCCCCCCTGGTGCTTAGTAGGGAATGAGGGAATCAGCCCCCTTATATTATATATATATACCTTTTAAGGGATGATCTCTCTCTCTCTCTCTCTCTCTGTCTTTGACGTTGCATCCCGAGGGTCTGGCGCTGCATAAGGTACCTCATTCCCGGAATTCCCTACCAAGAACCGGCCGGAAAGGACAGAGGCTCGAAGTCCGGAACCCCGCATCGTTCCTTTTGCTTGGGTCCGGCACGGTGCTGAGAGGCCGAATGGCCTCCCAAGATCCATTTAGGGTTTAGGGTTTAGGGTTTAGGGCTTGGGGTTTAGGGATGCTTGCTGCAGGGTTTGTGCTCAGCTTGGCAAGAAACGGGGGTTTCCGAAAATAGGGGGCTTCTTGGGGGTTCCCTTTCAGGGGATGCTGTTCTATCTTGGCGTATAAAAAGGGGTACCCTAAACCCTAAACCCTAAACCCTAAACCCTATAAACCCTAAACCCTAATTTGGGAAAAGCTCTTAACTGGACCTTCTCCAAAGGCCATGGGTGTGGCTGTTGCCCCGCGCAAACATGTCCCGGAGGAACACCCAGAGTCGGCACCTTAGTTGGGGTTTAGGGTTTAGGGTTTAGGGTTTAGGGTTTAGGGTTTAGGGTTTAGGGTTTAGGGTTTAGGGTTTAGGGTTTGAAACGGAAAGGCCTTGTACTCGCCGCCCTGCAGATCATGCAGTGCTTACATGTGTGAGGTGGCAAACATCTCCCAAGCAGTTCTTACATCCTGCCGTGTTCTTGCATGTTGGGGTGATCTTGAACGGTGCCTTGCGAAGACGCCCGAGTCCTTTCCAGCGTGATGCCACACGCCGCATGGCCACAAGCGGTGCGCCTCCTTCTTTCGCTTACTGTGTCTTCCTGACGGAATCATGCACGCAAAGGCGCAAATTACTTTTGCTGAAGTTGTTTCCAACCGTCATAACATACGACAAGTAGTATAGTGATCACAATGTCAGTGGTGATGATTTGGATGATCTCCGAGAGACGTGAACTGCGCGTGTCCCTGGGCGCAAATAAGAATGGCCGCCATGGCAAGAACAATAATACAGCCCAGATAAATCACAGAACTAGGCGTTTGAACTATCGAGTACTGAGGGGTAAAAGGAGGGACCCCTAGAAGGGACCCTTAATCTTATTCCCCTATATAACCCAAAATATGTATATGTATATGCATACGTATACGTATACGTATATGTGTATATATATATAACTACCCGATATAGTCCCTAAACACCTACGTAGCCGCGAAATAAGCCCCCAAGAACCCCTAAGGTCCCTTATAAGGGTCCCTCCTTTCCTAAGCAGCTATGGTCCCCACGGGTTCTTAGTAGGGAATGAGGGAATGAGGGTCCGAGAAAAACCCTGTAAGGGAGAACATAGGGCTCGCATTCCCAATTCCCTACGAAGAACCAGCCAGTGGTTCCCCAACCCTAAACCCTAAACCCTAAACCCTGAACCCTAAACCCTAAACCCTAAACCCTCAACCCTAAACCCTGTAGTACCTTTGTTCTTCCTCGGCCTCCTCGACTCCTCGGACATTGGGTGCACAGGTCGATTCCCGGACTTTCTGACCATCAAGGAAGACCTCTGACAAATTACTACTGGCTCTTACTCAGGAATGGGGGAATGAGGGCCTTGCATCATCCCTTGCAGGGTATATATAGAGTTTCAGAGGGCCCTCACTCCCCTCATTCCCTACTGCGAACCAGGGGGGAACGAAGCTACTGGGCTTTGCTTTGGTTTTACAGGGCTTCTAGGCCGATGCCTCGGTAATAATCAACTACCATGTCTGCACGGTCCGATACGGTCCGAAGCTTTTTGCCTCGCTGTTGGCGTGACGCACTCTGCTTTTCATGTGGCAATTATCTCAACTTGAAGTTGAAATTTCAAGTTGACAGGACCTGGGCAGGAGGGACTGCATCTGCATTTACATCGAAACAAGCCATGGCCGTTAGACGATGCGAGCTTGACACAGCTGCCCCTGGAGTCAGCCTCACTGCAAGAAGGGGCTTGCAACATCTGCCGTGATCTCGGACGTTTAGAGCTGGTTCAAAGCTTTTGTGCAACAGCAGCATACATTGCCTAGCAGCCTAGCATTGGCATTGGCAGATGAACCAACCTGCGCATGCTTCGTGCATGTGCTGCTTCTGATCAAGGCACTGATGTCAGCAAACGCCGCAGTCTCAGTGTTCGCTGTTCTTGTCGGGCCGTGCGGAATGTCCTAAATGTTCGGTTACAGTGAAACCACTGCATAGGAAATGGTCGTGTAAGAAACTGGGCGAATTGCGGCTACCTTTTAGCTAGGAAAACTTAGGGTGCCCTAGTGTTTTGGGGCCACTTTCTTAAAATCACGCTTGCAAACCCCTACGGGCCCGCTCCTTTTGTAACATACCAAAAATGTTGTACCCCAACCTTTCCCTGATAGGCCCATATAGGCCCCAGAAGCGTCAGCCTTTAAACAACAAGCCTTGAGCGTCCTGGCCCATACTCAAAACCCAGAAGCCCCAAAACCCTCAAGCCCTGAGCCCTAGGCCCCAAGCCCTAAGCCCGAAACCCCCTGCGGACCGCGAGCCTTCATACTTCACCACCCTTAACGGAATTGCCCCAGGGGCCTGGCCGGGGCCAGGCGGTGGGGGAATTCACTGTTCACATCCAACATCTGGATTCCCCTACAAGACAAGGACCTGGCCGGGGTTTGGCCTAGTGGAAAAGCGAACTCTCTTAACTCTTAAGAAACAAATTAAGAAATCAAGAATACCCTAGCTCAATCCCCCCCTCGCCGGTATGGAGCAATGGAAACGAAGACACTTGGGGTGCCCTACCGCCAGAGAGCCGTTTTCTTAATACAACGCTTCCACTGCAATTGAGATCACCCTTTGTGTTCACAAGGGGTCGCAACTTCATCCCGCACGGATGCGTGACACAGCCGCACCTTCTTGGCATGTGCAGCTGAGAGGCTTGCTGCTACAGCAGGAAACATGCAGGCGCATGCTTCGCGCGCGTGCTGCTGTCAGCCTTAAGAAAGTTTCAGTTTAGAAATTATTTACAAGCGGAATCCCCTCGGATTCGCTGCACACAGCAGATGGTCCGCTCGGTCAGGACAACATTCCACCACGTATCTGTGCACCAGGACTCAAGAAGCAGCCCCGCAAAGAGCAGGATTCCCTTGTAATACGGACCCCAGTAAGCCACCCTAATTTCGGAAACCACCATTTGACTTCCATGGGTCAACTTGTGATTCTTTAGACTGTCTTGTCATGTGCAGCTAAAGCACTGCCCACTGCTTTTTCAAATTGCGCCATACTTGGCACATTGGCACTGGCCAAAAGGGCACGAAAGGGAACTTTCAAAAAAATTGTACGATCAGCAGTGCCATTGGAGGCAGCTGCAGCCCTGCCTTTGGATGCAGGCGCCTTGCCTCAAAGGTGTCCTGAGACCTGTGGGAGTTGCACAGCCACATATGAAAATGCTCAGTTCACACAGATCTCAGGAAATCGGTGCGTACGCAGGCACTGCCTCTCGGTTTGCGGAAAGACATGCAGCCTACATAGCCTGCATGGCCTGTTCGATGGCAGCTTCAGCAACCTCTTGCTCAAGCTGCCAGGTTCTGGAACCTGCCCCCTGGTGGAGATTCAAGGTGCCCTGGACGTAGGCCGGGGCACTCTGTCTCAACTGGCGAAGGTCGCGCAGTGGCTCCTGCACATTCCTTAGCTTCCGGTTCGTCGGCCCAAGATAGCCGAAACACATTTGGCCCGGATAGGCCATAGGGCACCCCCATATGGCACCCCGAAGACCCCCTTAACCCTAAACCCTAAACCCTAAACCCTAAACCCTAAACCCTAAACCCTAAACCCTAAACCCTAAACCCTCGTCGAGCTGCATTTCCTCAGCAACTCCAAGAAGCAGGACGACGTAGGCCACTGCCACTTTTCTCGGGCTGCCTTCGGACACAACAAGTCATCCCTGGACCCTGATCTGAGCAAGTCTACTCAACGCGGGTGCCATGCCTTGGGCAGCTTCTATGGGGGTTGAGGAACATAAGGGACCCCTAGCAGAGTCATCAAGTAGTAGGATTCCCTTAGAATAAGGACCCCCAATGGATCCAACTCAGGGGGCTCGGCACTCTCAGGTATCCACTCAAGTCAGGAAGCACGCGCCGCAACGTCTAATTCTCAGCTTCCTTGGCCTTTAAACCTCAAATCATCTGAGCTTCGCCCTCAAATCGGCTATTGAGTTGGACCAAGCGACTGGCCAAAGTGAAGAAACGTGTTCCGCACCTTGCTGCAAGCAACATGCTGCCTCTCTCGAAGCGCATGGTCTGGCCATGTGGACCCTAAACCTGCATGGGCGATTATGCCCTATAAACCCCTTCATAACCCCCTTATAAAAAGACCCTTTCTAGGGGGTTGGGTTAGGGGGGATTATAGAGCTGAAATAGCCCATGCTGGAAATTTCAGTACGCAGCAAACTCCACAAACTGCTGTTAGACGGGAACCCGGAGCCCCTGCTGTTCTGGGGCCTTGGGAGGAGCTATTCTGCAGAGGTGGGGGGGGCCCCAAACCCTAAACCCTAAACCCTAAACCCTACACCCTTCAATTCCAACGTGCAGTTCCGAACACCTGCCTCAGCATGAGCGGACCAGGAAAGCCGAACTGCAACAAGTCATCCCAACAGAGCCTCTTAGTTGTCCAGCAAGCTAGGGGAACTAAAGGTTAACCTTTGGGAATTTATAGGGATTATACTACCCCAAAGAGGTTAATGGTTATCTACTCTACTACCCTAAACCCTAAACCCTAGACTTGCCCAAGTCACAGCCATGACGAGGTCCAGGCTGACATCGGATCCGTCCTCGGACTCCGCGCACCCAAGGAGGCACCGCTTCCAAGCTCAGAAGGTTGATGGACTTCCATGCCCCTTCTTCAGGGTTTACAGGGTTTAGGGACTTTTTGGGGGTCGCACTTCGAGCAACATGCATCTGGGCAGCTGATTCTTGGGCCGTCCCCGATTCATCTGACTCCTCGTTCATGGCGTCCTTGGAGCACGCGGTTTCACAAAGCGATGTGGAAACCAACAGAAGCAATTGCTGCCGGCCACAGCACTTGTAACTGCATCCTGGACACGGCATGCCGCGAATCTTCTCCTGCATCTGGGTCCCTCTTTTGGGCAGCTGCTGCCTCAGTGACGGCTTATACGGTTTAGAGTTTAAGGGTTCAGGAACCTCAGCAACCCTGAATTACCCTTCAAAATGCCGGGGTGGTCACAGGGACGCCTTACGTGACCCCGATAGCGGAAGCAAACCCAAGACAAGCCAATTTAACCGATAATCTAGAAACGCAGCGGTGATGGTACTAGGAATGGCTATGAGCAAAAGGAGGGAATGGCCAAAACACTGATTCTCAATGCATTTTGGCCTCTTTCGTACACCATACTGCAGAAGGATGTTTGACAGACGCTTCTCGAACAATACGCGCTGTCACAAGCGTTCCTGCCGTTTTTGCAAACATGGCCCCAATCACTGCCCTGCGCAACGCCATTGGCCTAGAGCAATCAGAAAAACCCACGAATTATGCATGTCGAACCACATAGCCGATAGCCGTTATTCATGTCACTATTCGTATTCACGATACCACTATTATTGTTATTGGCCTTGGATGTGCTGTCACTAATAAGCTTGCTATTGATATGTTGTTATCGCTATTCTTATTTGTTATTGTTGTTGCTGCTGTTCTTGTTCTTGTTATTACCATTGCTCTCGGCATTGTTATTGTTGTTGGTCTCGTTTCTTACCTTCCTGTGGTCCTTATTGCTTCTTATGTGATTATGTGTTTGTGTTTTTATTCTGCGTGGTTGGTCGGTCGGAGGGTCTTTCTTGCGGTTGTGGTTGTGGTTGTGGTTGTGCTGGTGGCGGTGGCGGTGGCAGTGGCGGTGGTGGTGGTTGTCGATGTGTTGGTTGTCGATGTGGTGGTTGTCGATGTCGTTGGTGTCGTTGTTGTGGTTCTTGTGGTTGTTGTTGACGTTGTGGATGCTGTTGTTAGTTGACCTCAACACACCCAAGGCGCCCTCTCGACAACGAAAATGAGCCTACACCGTGCGCACATACCTAAGTTCTTGTCTGCTTTGGCTGTGGCCACAGACCTGTTAGATTCGGGTAACGCTGAGAGACTGCTAGCGGGATGCGATGGGAATGTGGCGGGATGCCCCCTGTGCCCAGAGTCGGAAAGCGAAACAGAGCAAAGAAACCTGTTTCTAAACTCCCAGCTGTTCAATGCAAGCAGCGTCGGCGCAGCTCTCACTGGGAGCACAGCAAGCAGCGCTAGCGGCGCTAGCCGTGCTAGCAGTGCCAGCATCTGCGGGAGCCGCTTGAGCTGGGAGTGATGACGAGCTTGCAAGGCTTGCATCCTCTGCTATGTCGCCAGCATCAGACCCATCTGAGACCTCAAGGACTGCTATGGCTGATGCATACTGATGCTTTCAGGAAGTGTAGCTTCGTTCATTGACATGGTGCAAGTATTGAAATTCCGATTAGAGCTGGGACGCCGATATGCTGCAAGCAAGGTAAAACACATTGAAAGGCCGCGCGAGCAGCTGGAAACCAGCAAGTATGCGCTCTAAACAAGAAGCCCTGGCCAGAGGTACTGCCAGGACGCTCCGCGTTCCAGCCTGCCACGATGTTTGCGCTTCTCCTCTACACCGTGGTGCGCATAAGGGCAGGCCTTGCGGCGACGTGAGTTTCTTCAAAATTTGGGGGGGGGGGGGGGGGGGGGCGGGGGGGGAGGAGGAGTTACAAGTCATAAGGGATCCTGTATGTTTAAGAGGCACCTAGAAGGGAACCCAATATTTGAGGAAAATCCCGTGCAAGCCCTGCACCCTTTCACGCAACAAGTTAGGGTTTAGGGTTTTAGGGTTTTAGGATTTTTGTTTTTAGGGTTTTAGGGCTTAGGGTTTAGGGTTTAGGGACTCAGCTGGGGGCCTCGATTTTGAACCAATGGGACTAAATCTTACGCTGCGCTACCTCGCCAGCAGAACAGGACCAGGTCTCCATGAAGACGCTGCACCACCTGCCAGATGCTTGCTGCAGTTCTAATTGGGGCTCAGTGATGTCTTCGAGCGGTTGCAAGCTTGAGCGTCCTAGGTTTGCAGGGCTTATACGCGTTGCGCGGTCTCTTGGGCAGGGCTTCGTGCTCCTTGTGTCGTGCGGCTGCTAGAGATGCCACATCTCTAAATCCCCAAAGTCCTACAGATCCTTACCGGCAACGAGTCTATACTGCTCTAGCAGGCATCCTCGCATCCTGCACTGCTGCACTCTGGGGCCGCGCCAGCTGAGGGGCTCTAACAGGGATTGGCTGAGCTTCAAAATGTTTATGCAGCTGGTAGCGGCCGAGCTGCTTTGTCTTCGCCAGATTTGGCTTCTCACGAAGCTGACCGCGCCCATGCGCGAAGTTGCAAGCGCTTCCTGCAGTTTCGGGCTAAGCTGGCTGCTGACCACATTGTCGAGAAGCGGGTATGCTGATTAGGAGGAAGGGCCACAAAGTGCATGGCACGGTCTGGCTCTAGCTTGAGCCTGAAATCAGCCCTAAACCCAAACCCCGGAACCCGAAGCCCTAAACCCTAAACCCTAAACCCTGGTTTCATGGCCCTCGGATTTTTAGCCTCCCGAAAACACGCGATCGCACCCAGCCTCGGGAGCACTTGCCCTTCTCCTGGGCGGGTCAAGGCCGAAGGATTTAAGGTTTAGGGTTTAGGGTTTAGGCCCTGTTTTCGATGTATTTTTCTTCACATTTTCAGGGCATGAAGCTTCGATAGTTCGATTTCAAAGAACATCATTTATTCCATTGGGTCCTTTCGCCACACTTTCCATATGGCGATCGTGGCAAGCATCCGAGAGCATGCCTGTAGTCTAGCAAGAATGCGAAGCTTTGGGCGCGCCCTTCGGGCTAGAACATCCTGAGGATGGGAAGCCGTAAACCCAAAACCCAAAAACTAAAAACTTGAACCTTGAACCCTAAACCCTAAACCCTAAGAAAGGCAAAACGTCGCAAGTATCAGAAGCTTGGCAGCCGAAAACCTGCCTCCAACAGCACGGCTTGGCTATGGATACAATGCCAGAAATCATTTGTGTTAGTCCCCTCTCCCTCGTATTCAACCCCCCCTCCCCGCCGACCCCGTAATATTAGGGCTTAGGGTTTAGGGTTATACTGTAATAAAACCTATTCTGGGAGAGAGTGTTTAATGTTAGGGGGTCGGGGGTGGGTTTTCATATTTGGGGGAAGGTGGTTACAAAGGAAGGCGCAAGCAACATGCCGCAGCTCAAGTAGATGGAGGTGAAGGGGGTGCCACAAAACAACTTGAACAAAAAAAGAGTAGTTACAAGTGGGGTCAAAAGGGCCCTAAATAAGGTTACACGCCCAGTTGTCCCACTGAACACCCTACTAAAAGCTACCGTCGAAACTTCAAGAAGGCCTTTGAAAGGGTATTTTTTGGAAGCAGGGCAAGCCCCTTTAAACCCGCTTCTGAGCACTTCTGAACGCTTTTGGGCTTAGGGCCGCCAGTGTGCTGGGTTTGTAAGGCTCGATCTTGTATCAGCTGAGCAAAAGTCGGCTAAACCCTAAACCCTAAACCCTAAACCCTAAACCCTAAACCCTAAACCCTAAACCCTAAACCCTAAACCCCAAACCCTAAACCCTAAACCCTAAACCCTAAACCCACAGGTTGTGGCCAAGGAGCGAAGAACTTGCACAGCACTGTTCCATGGAAAATGGACTTTGGCTGCATTGGCTTGAAACGTGGCCCCTTGCCACCACCCGGCGCAACCAGTCCCTGCCTCGAAACAGGTGGACACCCTAAGGGACAGCAAAGTTGCGGACTGCTGTGGAAATGAATGTCGGCGTGCTTGGCTTTACTTACTTAGTGCTTTACCAGAAGTACAAGTTTCATCTTGTCAGCTCACGCGCGAAGATTGGCTACTCGCAAGATCACACGCACTACCTGCACGGGAGATCGCAACTTATCGCTAGGTTAATAAAAGATCCGGAAACCCTAACCTAAACCCTGTACCCTAAAACCCTATATGATATCATCCTGCGATCCTCCCGCGAGCTGAGTTGCCGGGCGTTTGGCCGTGCAACGCAAGCCTGAGTTAAAGACTTGAAGGAGCGTTCCTTTGAGCCAAAGTTCCCGCGCGGCCCACAGGAAAAGCGGAAGCTGAGACATACTTGCATGCCTACATACTCCCTTCAACACATGTATGCATAGTTGGGCCACGCGCCCCGCACGGTCACTGGGATTCCGGGTTTTTCGGCCTGGGGGGATGGGGTGGACGGGTGGGTGGGTGGGCGAACATACCCCAAAACACTGGAATTTACAGCCTTTTTGCCTCTCTGACAGCAAGCTTGAACGAACATCGCTGTGCCGTAGTTTGAAGCCTTTCACCTCCTTAAGTGGCCCTGCTTTAGTTTTCAAGATCGACAGCCCTTCAGCACTCATTTATCTGGCGGCCCAACAGCCTTGTGGAAGTTACGGTGCAGATTTACGGCTTCGGCCACAAGCACACCTGCGAGCGCAGCATCGCCCGCGGGCGGATGGACTTCCGGCAGCAGCACGTGGTCACAGAGAGAAGGGTGGTTTTTAGGGTTTAGGGTTTATAGGTTATAGGGTTTAGGGTTTAGGGTTTTGGGATTAGGGTGAAGTGCGAGGGAGACCTGCGAAACTCCGGGCTTGGCTTGCAGAAGGTCCTGCTGCTGGGGTGCAAAACTTCCTTGAAGACTTTTACTCGGAGCATGCCGGAGGCTTAGAAGCTGTGAGTGCTCAGCTCCCTCCGAAAGCAGCACATGCATGTTGCTTCCAAGCAGCCGCAACAATCCAACACAGCTACCCAGACCTCTAGAATGCAAAGCCCAGCGCTTTCTAACGAGGTGTCAGCTTCCAAGAGAGGAGCTTCTGTGGATCAGGCAGCAAGCCCAAGTAAACAGCCTTTCTTCTCAAAGCAATATTTCCGGTCTTCGAATGGGGAGGAGTGGGAAGGGAGGGGGTGGAGTGGCTTCGGATAGGGCGGGTTTAGGGTTTAGTTGCCCGCGCAAGCGTGACCCGGTACAAGTGCTGCGCCTACTTCTTTGGCCGACGGTCTTTTCTCGACGGAACCATGCGGGCAAGGTGGAATTGCTGTTGCTGTAGATTTGTTTCAACCCTAAGCCCTAAACCCTATAAACTCTAAACCCTAAAACCTAAACCTTAAACCCTACCCACCGTCATGTTGGGTTTAACATACGAAAAAATATTATGGTGATCACAACGTTGGTGGCCATGATTTGGACGAACTAATTGGAAGCGGTAAACTGCTACACGTTCCCCTCAAGAATAATAGGCTACAATATGGTAAACAAGAATGGGGCGCCATGGCCCAAGCAGCCAATATAACCAGAATAATACCTGAACTAGGCATCTGAACTATGGAGCATCATACACTTCACCCCACTTCCAGGGACCTAATAGTTAGGCTACTCACACCCTGAAGGACTCAAAGGCACTCAAAGACAAGGCCCTTGGAAATATAGGAAACCCTAAACCCTTCCCTAAACCCTAAACCCTAAACGCTAAACCCTAAACCCTAAATCCTAAACCCGGTCACATCCTGAGCAGCTATGGTCTATAGTACCGGACCGGTGTGGTGGCAAAGGTCGGTGAGTCTCTGACCATCGAGGAATTCCTAGGAATAAAAAGGGTTTAGGGTTTATGGTTTAGGGCTTAGGGTTTAGGGTTTACAGCCCTAAACAGTGTTACTAAGTTGCTGACCTTGTAGTGCGTGATCATGTCTGCAAGGTCCCAACCTTTTTTGGCCTCGCTGTGGACGTGACGCACTCTGCTCTTGATGTGACAATCCCCTTTGCTTGAAATGAAGCTTTATGCGTAGATGCACTTGGCAGGAGGCGCCAGGAGGGAGAGTATCTCCTTTTTCTATTGAAACAAGCCATGGCCGTCAAACGATGCGCACTTGATACAGCTGCCCCTGGAGTCAGCCTCACTGTAAGACAGGGTTTGCAACATCTGCCGTGATCTCTGACGTTCAAGACTGGTTCAGAGCTTGTTACCGCTGATTACCGCTGTCTCGTCTCTTGCATTCTGTTCTGTTCTATTGCCTAGCATTGCGTAGCATTGGCAGAAGAACTTGTGCAGGCGCATGCTTCCTCTTCCTGCATGTGCCGCCGCTGATCAAGGCACTGATGTGAGCAAACGCCACAGTCTCAGTGTTCGCTGGTATGAGATGGATTTTCGTCGAGCTGTGCGGAATTTCCTAAAATCTGTTGAGATGAGAGATTGTCCTCTGTCTTCACACACAGAGTGGAAACTTCAGCGCATCCCGCACAGATGCGTGACACAGCCGCAGCTTCCGGCATGTGCAGTTGAGAGGCTTGCTGCTACAGCAGAAAAAGGCGCATGCTTCGCGCGCGTGCTGCTGTCAGCAAGCCCCCGAAATGGTCTTAGTTTTCGCAGTTTTCGCCGGCAACAGATCTACTATCTCCAAGCGGGACCCCCGGGTAAGCTGCGCATAGCAGATGGTCTGCTTTGCTTGGTCAGGACAACGTTCCACTGCATGACCGTGCACAAGGACTCGGACAATCTTGGCATGCGCAGCTAAAGCAGCTAAGGGGCTTTTGCTCTTGCAAACGCCCACTGCTTTTGCCGAATGGGGCCATACTTGGCACAATGACACCATGGCCAAAAGGGCACGAAAGGCAATTTTCACAAAACTGTACGAGCAGCAGTGCGTACTGGAGGCAGCTGCAAGGAAACTCACAAGGAAACCCTGCCTGTGGGAGCAGGCGCCTGAGAACTGTGGCAGTTGCGACAGTCAAGTGACAGTCACATGACAATGCTCGTCAACTGACACAGATCTCAGGGAATGGCTGCATACGGTGACAATTCAGGCAGTGCCACTCCGATTGCAAGCCTACAGCGACTTATGGCCGGTTCGATGGCAGCTTCAGCAACCTCTTGCTCAAGCTGGCAGATTTCTGCGCTCCGGCGGAGACAGAGGGTGCCCCGGACGTCTCAACTGGCGAATGCTGGGCAGTGGCTCCTGCACGTTCCTTAGCTTCCGGTTCCGCGTCCCAAGACGGCATCCGGAACATGCCCCAAGCCTTCTGCACTAGACAGGCTCACGGCACACCCATGGCGCCCCTACCCCCTACGGTGCCCCCGTGGCATCCCAAAACCCTCCAAGGCCCTGCGAAAGCCGTCGAGCAGCACTTATTCAGCAACTCCAGGAGGCAGAACGACGTAGGCCGCTGCCACTTTTCTCGGTCTGCCTTCGGGTTAAGTGCTGTTGTCCACACAGAAGTTGAAAAGGGTTTCAAGGCGGTCTGTGCAGTCTGTACACTTTAGGCCACCAAGTGAGGTTCCTCATGACAGCTCGCATGTCTCAGCTCAGGCTGAACAAGGAACCCATTTTTTAAGGGTTTCTCTAATGGTTTCCAAACCCTAAACCCTTGACCTGAACAACTCTACTTCACACGGTTGCCATGTCTGGCAACCTTGGCTTCAAAAGGGCCTTGAGACTCAAAATCTATTATCTTCCTTGGCCTTTAGACCTGAATCATTGAGCTTCTCCGACCAAGCGACTGGCCAAAGTGCAGAAACGTGTTCCTCACCTTGTAGGCAAATGCTGCTTCTCTCGGAGCGAAGGTGTGGCAATGTGGAACTAGATGCCAGTACGTAGCAACTGTGCACAAACTGTTGCCCGACAAGCAGGGCATTGGACTTCTAATTATACGGGCGGCTGTTCTGGCCATGGGAAAATGTATTCTAAAGGGGCGTTTGCAAAATGTACTGCGTGATTGATCCTTTGGAACGCCGTACTGGGCCCTCTGGCGTAAATTCCAGTTCCAACACGCCGTTCAAAACTCACCACTAAGGAGCCCTCAACTTACCCAAGTCGCAGTCACGACGAGGTCCGGATCTTGGCTGACATCGGATCCATCCTTGGACATCACTACCTCTACCTAAGGAACCGCTCCCAAGCTCGGAACGCCACAGGGTTTAGGAACTTTGGCCGCACTTCAAGCAACATGCATGCTGGCAGCTGATTCTTGGGAAGATGCAGGCCACGGCACTTGTAACTGCACCCTGGAAACTGCATGCAGCGAAAGTGCGTCTAAGCCCGTCTCTTGAGCAGCTGCTGCCTCGGTGAAAGAGGGTTGTACGGTTTAGGGTTTGGGGGTCAAGGCTGAGGGAACCGCAGCAACCTGAATTACGTCGCAAAACGCGGGGGGGGGGGGAGGGGGGGGTTGCAGGGGGCCGCAACAGCGCGAGCAAAAGACGTGGCCACGGCAGTTGAGTGCTGAAATGCGTCAGGGCTCTTAGGGGTCACTAAGAAGTCACTAGAGGCCTTCCTTGCAGGCTGCGTTGTTTTCTCTCAACTCCGACATGTTATAGCCACGGCATGGCTGCTATGGGGCAACACAACGAACAACCCCGACCCACCCAGCCCAAGACAAGCCACTTTACACGAATAATTCAGAAAACAAAAACCCTCGTAGGAAAGCAGGGCCTTCATAGCCATCATAGACAAAGAAACAAAAAGGAGCAGTACTAGTAGTAGTACTAGTACTAGTACTAGTACTAGTACTAGTACTAGTACCAGTACTATAGTAGAGGAGTAGTAGTAGTAGTAGTAGTAGTAGTAGTAGTAGTAGTAGTAGTAGTAGTAGTAGTAGTAGTAGTAGTAGTACTAGTAGTAGTACTAGTGCTAGTAGTAAGTAGTAAGTAGCAAGTAGCAAGTAGCAAGTAGTAAGTAGTAAGTAGCAAGTAGTAAGTAGTAAGTAGCAAGTAGTTTGCCGTTATTAGTTAGAAGTTCCAAGTTGGAAGTCAGAAGTGAGTAGTTAGAAGTTAGTAGTTAGTGGTTAGTTGTTAGAAGCTACTTGATAGCTGTTAGTTTTTAG